AACCACTAGGAGTGCTGTAGGGGCAGATCTGTCCTAACCCCTTAGATTTCACATCTTGCCCCAGATTGCCTCAGATGCTGCACATGGAACCATATGGCTTAAAGTTTGCCTAATAGATTTTGGACTTGCTTTGATCCCATTCCTTTGTACCATCCTCCAATTTGTGCCTTTTGGAATAATATTTATCTTGTGCCATTGTACATTAGAAGTGTTTAAATTTCTTTTCACTTGTACAAGGGCTCACAGCTACGAGTCTGCCTTAAACCTGAGAGGAGATTAGCACTTGAACTTTCCAGCAATGCTGAAACTGTTAGGAGAACTCTTAGAGAAGGACTAAGTGCTTTCTGTGTAAAGGAATGCACATAAGTCTCTGGGGGGCCAGGGATGGCATGTTATAGTTTATGTTTAGAATCCCCCAAACCTCATGCAGTCACAGGTGAAGGTTTTTCAGAGGTGCTGGATTTGGAGTGTGTGATGCTGGGATTAATTCATGGTGCAATGCAAAAATCAAGGCGCTATCCACCTTAAGTAGCCAAAGATCTGTGACATTCTCTTGGTTGCTATGTTACCTTCTGCTCATATGAACTGTTTTTTCTCTGCAATGTTTGTCTGCCATGCCACCCTGTCTTGGAGCTTTCTTGTGCGCGCGCGCGCGCGCACACACACACACACACACACACACACACACACACCTTCCCTTTTCTTTTCCTTCCTTTCCCATTCTTTCCTTTCCCCTTTGCAGTTTTTCTTTTCTTTTGAACAGTTCTTCCCTATTCACAGTATGCGTTGTACAATTTGGATCTTCTTTATGCTTTCAGATTCTCACACTAATGAGACAATACAATGTTTACACATGTGGGTCTGTTTTATTTCACTTATGAGTATGGTCTCAAGTTACATTCATTTACCTATAAAAATCTCAAGTTTACCTTTCTTTATGGCTGAGTAGTATTCCATTATATTTGTCCATTTAGCTATCTATCTATCTATCTATCTATCTATCTGTCAATCTGATTTTTTTATCTTTTTTATCCATTCCTTGGTTGATGGGCATTTGGGTTGTTCCCAAGACTTAGCTATTACAATTGAGCTGCTATAAACATGGGTGCAGATATATCACTGGGGTATGATGTTTTTAATTATTTGGGGAAGATACCCAGAAGAGGAATTTCTAGGTCAAATGAGGCCATTAACCCTATTTTTTAAAGAAATCTCCACACTGATTTCACCAGTCTACACTCTCACCAACAGTGGAGAAGAGTTCCTTTTTTTCCACAGCCTCTCCAGCATTTGTTACTGGTTGATTCTTGATAATAGCAATTTTTTTCTGGAATGAGATGGAATCTCAGTGTTGTTTTAATTTGTATCTCTTGAATTACCAGTGCTAAATCTCTTTTGGCATGTAAGATAGCGTATTCACAGGTTCTGGGAATTAGTGAGATACAGTATGGCAAAAACTGATGGGGAGGTAGGCATCCTGTACACATATGCAGTACAGTTCTCAAAGCCCCACATGTGGACTTCTGGAAAGAATGTAAGCTGGTTTTCAATAGGATGGCCTAAACCTGACATCAGCCTGAGGTATGGCATCCCACCACCACCTCTCAGGACCCTGATGGAGAAGTTTTCTCAGATTTCCTGGAGATTTGGACTGTATAAAAGAAAAGCAGCTATGAAGAATGAGCACTATCATGACTTTCTATGATAGCCCATACAGCATTTCCCAGATGCAGCGTTTACTTTTATCTTTGCTTTACCCCCTCTTTTCCTATTTACTCAGCCCAAGCTTGGTCTGCAGAGCCAGTTTCTCCCACTCTTCACCTTTACTTCCCTGAAAAAACTTTGCCAGTACCTTTTGTTTGTTTTGTTCAATTCTTTGTCCAAAGCAAGATTGCCTAAATTTAAGATCTCCTGTCGCTAGGTTTTGGGCTGCTGGAGTTTCTTTCTAGATGTGGTTTCTAAATTATTTCTCTTGCACAAAAATTGATCAAGAAAAACCTGAAAGGTTGTGAGGTTTTATAGTTAGTAAGGCATGAAAAGAAAAGAAACATGCTCTACTGAGCAAGTATGGACCAATTAAAAGTAAGAAAACAAGTACCTTCTACAGGGTGAGCATGGACTACTGTAAAATACAGAGCACAGTGGCCATGAGGAAAACAGTGGTCTTCTTTTGTGTTTGCTACTCCTCAGGCTTATGTCAAGCCTAGGCGGTCCTATGAAAAACCTGCTTGGGTTCTCATGAGAAGAACGGAAGAAAACACTCTATAGTTAGTTCATGTCGCGTCCTTGGGAGCCGTCCTGTGCAAGTGTCCTGGAATTTTGTAATTGACAGAGCATCCCATGTTCCCCAGACAGTTTGACAAGCCCTAATATTCTGCCTCACTCTGGCTTAAAACTCTGGAGTAGCTTGGATTGCAGGTGTGTGCCACTGCGCCAATCTGTATTGAACATTCTTTGAAATAAGGAACCCAATCATTGATTTTTGTGTTACTACTGTCTAGCAGGATTGGACACAGAACAAGTTAAACTTTTTTGTATGGGAAATTGAACTCAGGGCCCCTGTGCTTGCCAGCCAGGTGCTGTGCTGCTGAGCTATATCCCCAGCCTAAGTTAACATTTTTTGAAGCAAAATGGGAAAACAACTCTTAAGAAGACACATGCTAATTCTGCTCTCAGAATGTTTTCTAAACTATTTATTTTATTTTTATCTTTCTGCAGTCTAAAAAATTTTCCAATGTAAAAATATTTTGTCTACCATTTATTTAAATAAAAGTGCAACACTAACAAAACTTACCCTGTTGTGCCAAATTTCATTTTGTCTTTCTTTGCTTTAACCACTTCCTCTTTTCCTCTCTTTCTACTTCCTCTTAGTGATGGTCATCTCTTGTGACGTCGTGGTCCCATCTTTTTTGTTTTTTCCAATAATGATGATCTTTTTCCTAAAATTTGCATTATTTCAGGCTTCCCAGAAATCTATGCTGTTACAAAAACAAGAGAAGTCCTGCCCGTCCTTTCCTTTTTGCACTGCAGTTCTTGAAGTCACCAGGATATCTGCTCCCTCCCTCTGCGAGCTACAGTTATGTGAATTTTAGACACAGGAGCAGGAGTCTTCAAGTCACACATTTGAAAAGTATTTAAAAGTACTATAAAGTAATTCAGAAATGTCTGTTCCCTGATCTAGATTTGAAGAAAGTGGAGTTATCAAATAAGTTCAATAAAATCATTCCCTTACGGGTGTTAGAAAGACCTGAATCCCTCTTTACCTTTTACTCTGAAATTCTGATGCAGACCCTGCACTGAGTTATTATTCCTTAGTGGCTTATAATTTAATGAGGGCTATGTGACATAATAATTGAATATAATCTAAGGTTAAGTTAGAATATATTGCAGATGGTAAAGAAAGCCCAAAAGGTATGGTTAAGAGGGAATATAATTTAATTTAAAACACCTGGATTTTAGTTTAAGTTGCCACTAAATGGTTGCAGGACTCATCAAGTCTTTCAACCTTAAATGTAAATTTGAAGGATTGTTGTATATGACTTTTAAGAGGATGCTGAACTCAAACTAAGTGCCACGTGGGTGGAGAAAAGGTAAGACCTCTCTGAGTGGGATTCTTGGGGTAAGTCTTTTGGGTGGAGGGAGGATACAAGAGCAACTTGAAAGATGTATGGAGTTTTGAGGAGGGAGATGAATGGTAGGACACTTCTAGAGTTGGAGGTACGGTAAGGTTATGAGTTCAAGCAGAGTGGTTTAAAAAGCATAATAAATGCCCTATCCTGAACAAGCAGCAGCTGAGCCACTGACAAGCCCTGGGTGGGAACTCTACAGAGGCACTTGTTGGACTCAGGGCTGAGAGTTCTACTGGCTCCTTAAAGAAAGATTATTCAGGAAACAGTGAGAAGAGAGATAGGTGGGAAAATATATTGAAGAGGAGGAGAGGAGGTTGTGATGTAAGGAGAGGGGTGCTCCAAGTTTGCATCAACTAAGTTCAGATGAGAGGAATGTTGAAGGAGAAATCAAGTTGAAGAGGAAGAACTCTGAGTTGACCACCAAAGCTTGAGTGGAAATTTTGTTAACAGAAAGATGAAGGGTATTTTGAGTGGTGAAGTTTGGTTTTCAGGGGAATTTTGTAACTTCGTTCACAGAAACGCACCTGTCTAAATGATCTTACTGAGAATCTTTAAATTGAGCAAATTTTTTAACAGGAAGAATTGTGGATATTATTGTCAGGAACGATAGAGTTTTAAAGCATTGAAACATGAATCTTTTTATAACTCCCAGTTATTTACTTTAGCTTTATCATTTATTATTTCTAACTTAAACCCACCTCTTGTACTGTTCCTTTCTCTTGTCCCCAAAATCTTTCTACTTTTCTCTCTCTGTCTCTCTCTGTCTCTCTCTCTCTCTCTCTCCCTCTCTCTCTCTTCTCTTCTCTTTTCTTTTCTTTCCCATTTCTCCCCTCTCTCCATTCCTTCTCTCTTCCTCTCTCACATGAATGTTAATCATTTTTCTTTTGGGGTAATTGTATTAATAAAGACAAATTAATATCTCAAATCTCAGTGGTTGAAAAGTTCTTTTCATTCAATATTCCATGTGCCTGTGACTTCCTTTCACATGCTGTGTGTGTGTGTGTGTGAGTGGTGCCAGGGAACAAACTCAGGACTTCATGCCTTCTAGAAAACCTTATACAGACATAAGTCTTCAAAAGTGGTGGCAGCTGTGGTGCACTCCTGTGATCTCAGCACTCAGGAGGCAGAGGCAGGAGGATCCTGTGGGTCTGAGGCCAGTCTAAACTGCATAAAAAAACCTGTTTCAAAAAACAAACAAACAAAACAGTGGCAGTTCAATCTCCTTGTTACCTAGTGTGCATTAATGGCGAGAGTGGGACTATTCATGTAAAGGTCTAATGGTAACCATAATAAACTTTTTCTTAGACTTCTACCTACAACCGTGCCTCTTCTACTGTGTTACTTGCATTTTGATTCTTTTCTCTTTTTCAGCTCTCCTCCCATGGCACTGAGGATCAAACCTAGGGCCTTGTACACGGTAAGTAAGTGCTCTACTACTGAGGTACAATTCCAGCCCTTCCACATTTTTATTTGGATCATCACAAAAAGTCCCTATTATCAACATTTTATGTCCAGCAGGATCATAGCATAATTTCTATGTCAACAAGTTTTCTCTGCTACTTTGTTCTTTGTTTCCTCTTTATTTCAATGCTAAGCATTCCTTTGGTTCTGTGTTAGCCTCTCTCTCTCTCTCTCTCTCTCTCTCTCTCTCTCTCCCTTTCCTTAATCTTAGAACTGAAGAGGCTGAAGAGGCTCAAGAAAATGTTACACCCAAAATCAAAACAGTCTTTACCCTTTTGTTCCACTTCTCTTTCTTTAGCCAGAATAAATCCCTCCCCTCTGAGTCCTATGCACTTCCTTCTACTTTCTCATTTCCTTATCCTTCAGAATTTAAGGCCATTATGCGGCAAATTAACCAGCTGACAAGCAACAGATACTGCTCAATCCATTGTTTGTTTTTTGTGACATTAGTTAGCAGGTTACCCTGCTTTGTTAGCCTGTGCCATCCTATAAATTGTTGACTTAAAACTGATAAAAATTAATGTTTTTTATCAGAATTCTGAAGAATATTCTTTGAATCTCTGATACTCTTATCACAGTCTGTCTTGTTTCAGAGTACATGCTTCCTCACTAAATTCTGACATCTTTAAAAACTGAGCAGTGTTTTACATGCAATAGATATTCAACAATTGTTGATCAGCTGATAGATTCTATATTTGACTAATTGACTACAGACTTTGAATATCTCTTGATTCTACAGTTGGCACATAAATAGTCATTAAAAAGGACTTATGACAAATAGAAAAATATTTTTATATGGCTTTTTTACTTGTTACCTCTTGGGTTAGGCTATAGTACTATTGTTTATTTGTAATTCGTACCACACTTACACTCTAAAAGGTTTTCGATAGTATTTGCTCATTGACTGATTTACTCAACAGTATTTTTGTGGTACCAGGGATTGAACTCATGACCTCATGCTTGCCAGACAGGCACTTACACTGCTGAGCTAAATCCCTGTCCCCTCAACAGTCACTTAATGAGCAATTACTATGAGCTAGTGATAGGATAGAAGATTTAATAAGGGATAGGAGAAAAATAAGTAAAGCGGTTGCTATGGTGTGGTTAATGTTATATTTAGTGCAGAAGCATCTAAGTTAGGCTGGGATTTCTTGGGAGAAGGGACCCATGAAACCAACTTTGAAGGAGCTTGCTGAAGAATTGGGGAGCAAAGCAAAGGCTTATCATGGGAAGAAAAGCATGCTCTGTGCAAAGACACTGAGATAGGTAATAAAATTGCATTACTCAGAATCTGTTCAGGAATTCAGTAGGACTAGAACATGATATGTGAGTTAAGGCTTCACAGGATGATACCAGAGAAATAAGCAGGCACTACAGTTTGGATCTAAAATGCCCCTCAAAGGTGCGTGTGCTAAGGCTTAATCCCCAAGATGGTGCTATTGGGAGATGGTGGAACCTTCAGAGGTGGGACCTGAAGCTCTGTTCAGGGACTTGGAGGTCTGTTTTTGAAGGGCATTGCTGAGTCTGGTCCTTCCTCCTTCCTCTTTTGACTCCCAGCTCATTAGGTGGGCAGTTTTGTTCCACATATGCTGCTGCCACGATGTGCTGTTTTAACATAGGCCCAAAGCAACAGAGGCCAACTGATCATAAATGGGAACTTCTAAAACTGGGACCTAAAGTAAATCTTTTCTCTTTATAGGTTGGTTATCTTCTATATTTGTTTGAGGGACAGCTGACCCAACCAAACAGGTATCACATCTGAAAGTGGCTTGTGTATAACAGTCGGGAATTTTAACAGCAAGGCTGTGGAACATATTTCAACTCTGTTTCTAGGTAAGAAGGTCCTGCGTGCCCTTCTGGGACTATAGTTCTGGAAGCTGAGACTCCTGTGCAAAAGTTAACCCATAAGATACATTCAGGGAAACTAAGAGCTCTGGAAGTGAGGGCTCAGACATAAAACAACTTTAATTCAAATCTGAGAGGAAGAATTGGTAAAGTAGCACATGCCTAAAATTCCAGCATTCTGGGAAACTGAAGCAAGAGGATCAAAATATCAAGTCCAGCGCAGGCAACTTAGCAAGATAACAAAACCCTGCCTCAAAATGAAAAACAAAAAGGGCTAGAGATTCAGCCCAGTGCAAAGGCTCTTAGTTCAATTCCTGATCACATACTCACACATGCAGGCATATACACACATGCATATGCATGAATAATTAATAAGAAATATGGTACCCAGGCAGAGTAAACTGATCCAAATGAAAAATCAGAGGCACAGATTTCTGGGGGAATAGGGGTGGGAATTTCTTCAGCCTTGGGTCTATGTGGAAAAGGAATATCCTAAGCTAGTTTGGACCCAAGACCTGAGGATTTTAACCAGAAGAGCGATAGGGGCTGCTGTTACTCTGGTGTCACTGCATCTTGTTCTGTCCTGTGAGCTCTTCCCAACGTGTGTCTGGCCTAGAGTAAGCCCTAAATAAATATTTAGTGAATGACATGGACTTGCTGCTAATTGTTAAGCACAGGAATGCTTTTGTTTAGTCTATTCATATGTGAGTACAATACCACAAGAAAACAGACTTCGTGCAAACCCACAAGAACACTCTCTTCTTTATTTTCATACATGTCAACTAAATTATATTATTTACCAGCTATTAAAATTTAAAATCAACTTTTAAAAATATATTTTGGACACATACATGTAAGTCATACAAATGAAAGAGTAAAGTAGTAAAGAAACCCTGATAAGTAAATACCAAAGAAAATATAAGAACTAAATAACAAATAGTTTAGAAATAATATGGTATAAGTTTCCATAAGAACAATAATCCAGAAACAATGGTCAAGATGACTATAAATCAGAGTTAAGCAATACAAAGCTATTTATAAATCTTCTGAATATATGTGTTTGCCAATTATAACTAAAGTGAGAAGCAGTAAAGTTTTATCATTTGCCTCTTTTTCTAAAATAGGAAGCAAAATATGTAAGCTTTGGGGACAGTTCATCAGAGGAGAGAAGACTTTAAAAGAGTAACAGTTGAAGAGAATGGTAGCCTGGACATACGTCACAATGGTGCCATCATGAGACGAGTCCGTGTAATATAAAAATGAGTGTGGAAATACTAACTCCAAGTGAAGGCCAAACTACCAAGAGCTGCTAAGACTACTCTATTCTACGTTCAGGCATCAGATGGATCTTGTGAATGTGCCTATATAACATTTGAATGAGAATGCGTCATAAATTAAAGCATTTAAACCTCTGTAGTGTTTCAGTTATTTATATGAACTTTCTGCCTCAGATTGTATGGTAATTACTTCATGCTTAACATCATCAAAATACAGAAACCACCATTCTTTATAAGAACACCCTTTGTGGACTAGGTATGGTGGTGCATGCCTGTAATCCTAGAACTCAGAAGGTTGAAGCAGAAGGAGTGCTGTTGGTTCAAGGCCAGCCTGGGCTCCAGAGTGAGTTCAGGACCAGCCAAAACTACAGAGCAAGACCTGCCTATTTTTGGTTTCTGGCATGCAGTTCCCAGAACTCTTTGAGTTGCTGTAGTTACAAGACTAGAAGTATCTTTTGTATTCTAGATGAGTCAAGGCTAGTGGTTCTTAGGTAGCATCAGGATGGGGGCTTGGTAGCCAGAAAGATCATCCTTTGTTAGAAACTTAGAACTTTCAGCCCCACTCTAAACTCTGAGAGGAAAGGATTATAGACTGATTTTAATCACTATCAATCATGCATATCAATGAAACCTTCATAAAACTCATATGCAGTGGGGTTTAGAAAGCTCCCAGATGGCAAACACATCCACATGCCAGGAAAGGTGCATATCCCAATTCGATGGGTCAGAATTTCTTGTACCTGGAATCTTTTTGGAACTCATCTTATATAGACTGTTCACTTGTACCTTTTATAATAAACTGGTAAGCGTAAGTGCCTCTCTGAGTGCAGTGAGCCATTCTAGCAAATTATCAAGCCTGAGGAAGGGTTTATGAGAATTCCTGATTTACAGCTGCTTGAACAATAGTACAGGTGATTTCAAAATAGCATGTTACTGGTATAAAAACAGACATATAGAGTAATGGAACAAAATAGAGAGCCAAAAATCACTCTATACATTTATAGTCAATTGACCTTCAATAAAGGAACCAACAACACACAATGGGGAAAAATAAGTCTCCTCAATAAATGCTGTTGGGACAACTGGATAGCCACATGCAGAAGAATACCACTAGACTCTTATGGAAGGTATAAAAATCAACTCAAAATTGATTAAGGATTTAAATATAAAATCTGCAACTCTAAAACTACCAGAAGAAAATACAGACAATGACATTGCTCTGGGCAGTGATTTTTAGGACATAACATCTAAAGCATAGGCAACAAAGACAAATTAAATTGTGTCAAACTAAAAAGTTTCTGCAGGGGAAAGAAAATAATCTGCAAAAGGCACTCTACAAACAAGAAACAAAATAGGAATAATCTGCAAAATTAGATAAAATATCTGCAAACCATATATCTGATAAGGGTCAATATTCAAAATGAAGAAACTGAATAATTTAACAACAAGAAAACAAATGAATTGATTTAAAAATGGGCAAAGGATCTAAATAGACATTTCTTCAACTAATATATTTTTTCTTCTTTTTAAAAATTTTATTTAAAGAAAGACTACACAAAACATAAAATGGGTAGAAATAATACATACTTTCAAGGAAAAAATAAACAGTAAGAAATCACTAGTTGATGATTACGTATTGTCCTCTTACAAATAGTTGTTCAAGACACAAGAGTGAAAGTGGGGATTCAAACAGCGAGACTGCAAACAGTTCTGTTCAACTATCCATCAAAAACTTAGTAATATGGTTATCAATCCTACACACTTAAACATCCATGCACTTATCCATATTTGTTCATTTCATCATGCGTTATAAGTTCAGTTCTCATAAGCTGTTAATGGGTTCTGTGCATACATGAGTCTTAACATGTATTTCTATCCTTTCTATATTAGAAGGAGAAACAAAACAAAGCATGACAAAACATTTTCCTATAAACTCATGAAACAAAAAAGACATATAAAACTGCTGTACAAGGAGTTCTACTATGGTTACTATGGGGTCTCTTGTTATCTTCAGTAGAACTGGCTATAGCATCAGACATAGTATATCTGAATATAGCAGTATATAGCAATATTAATAAAATACAACTTCGTAGATAGTGTAAGACTTCAAAAACAGGCAGTAATCAAACCAGAATGGGTTTTGTAGTGAATCTTGCCATCTTTGGTGTAGTTGCCTATACTCTCAGACTTGGTACTATCAATCATAACAGTTTTGAATAAAATCTGTCAATACCAAACAGCAATCAAACAATCAGATTTAACTAAGATCAGTCATGATAAAGTAATATAAGTTATATAGGACTCCAGATTAAGTTAATAGGAAATTAAAGATGATTACTGTACTATATCCTGATGTTTTTGGGATAGCTGTCTGTGCCCTCAGATCTAGTGCAAGTAGACAAACTGGGACAGAATAAAATCTATCTAAGCAGAGTGGTGTGAGTAATATGGGTTTTAAATCCTGATAAACTATTAACAATATCTTCTGCCATCTTTTTTAAGACTATTCCTCCCCTTTCACTCCCCCAGGGTGCACTGTGCATTTTTGGGTCTCACCAACACTCTTAGTTTTTAGATTGGGGGAGCAGCCTGCTATTTACCTAAGTGGTTCTGAACCTTCTCCCTCCTGGACTTGGTCTCTAGTTGTATTCCTTTACCTATTAAAGCCTGTCTTTCCAATCTACCCATAAATACTGGTCTAGTTGCCTCTATTTCTCTCTGGTTCCCTGTCACATACAGTATTATTTTCTCATATTTGATTTTCAGTCCATATATCCTTTTTCAGTTAAATAATATTTCCTATAAAGAGCATCTCGGTGGACCCTACCTCCTGATCTGCTCTGCCTGTGTTTCTCTTTTTGTTTTTTAGTGTATCAAGACCATCTATATTAGAGATTATAGCCCAATCTCCTCTGCCTCATTTCTGTTGTGCTCTTTTTCTGCCATTAGTTGTCTGCTTTTCTTCTTCATTCTGCTTTCTGCTCCATTCATGGAGGCCTCTCTTCCACTGTTCCTGGAATTCTGGTACTTTTCTCTCTCTCTAGAATGTCCTACAGTATTCTCTGTACAGTTGGATTGGTGGTCCCAAATTCCCCCAGTTCCTTTTTGTCTTGGAACTTTGTCTTGGAAGCATCTTGCTTCTCCATTAATTTCTAGAGACAGTTTTTCAGGGTACATCAATCTGGGCTGGAGGTTATTTCTTTCAAGACTTGGAATACTTTGCTCCAAGCTCTTCTTGATTTGATGTTCTGTGTCAAGAAGTCTGGGTTTTGCTTTATAGGTAATCTGTTTCTTGTCTCTGATGGCTTTTAATATTCTGTTCTTATACTGAATTTCTGGGATCTTGATTATTGTATGCCTAAGTGTAGCTCTGTTTTGGTTGTAGGTGGCTGGAGTTCTGTATGCCTCATACATCTGAATACCATTTCCTTTTCTTATGTTTGGAAAACTTTCCTTAATTATTTCTGTGAAAAACCTTTGTAGTTACTTTGTTTGTGCCCCTGCTTCTTCACTCACATTCTTTATTCTTAAGTTATAGATCCTCTTGTCATCTTCTAGCCTTTGTATTGTTACTGCTTGTTTCCTTGCTATTTTTAAGAAATGTTTCCTTTCATGACCCCACACTGCAAACTTGTCCTCCAGGTTGGATAATCTATCCTTAGTTTCTTTCAAGCAGTTTTGCCAGCTTTCAATGGAGTCTTTTATTTCCTAGTAATCTCTTTGATCCTGCTTCATGTACTTTATGTTCTCTTTATATTCTTCATCAAATGATTCCTTTTTTTGTGCTTCTCTATTCTTCCATCTGTGTCTTCTTGAGAGGCACTTAGCATTTCTTTTATTAATCTACTTATATATTGCTTTACTTGGCTAAATATTTCACTTTTGAACTTGTCTAGGAGGTCTCAAAGATATCTCTTTATGTCCCCTGATGCCGTGTCTGATATTGCATGTTTGCAGTCCTCAATCTCTCTTGTATTTACCTTTCCTGGATCAATGTTCTCAGAGTTGGGGCTGGGGACTTTTTTCTTGTTGCTTCCTCTTCTCATATTTTTTTCTTCCACACAGGCATATAGAAGAGGTCCCAGTCCCTTTCTTTGTTGGTTATGGTTCTTCTGAAACATGCTGGCTAGGTGATCCTGCCCACTCCAGTGTGCTACTGAGGTGCAAACAGGGGCAGCATATACTGACCCCTCCCTTTGGAGTCAGTCAACCTGCTGAGGCCTTCATTGCATTAGTGTGCACTGTGTGTAGGGAACTGGTTTGGGACAACTTATTGGGTCTCAGCCAGGGGCATGACCCAGGCCAAGCATACCCCACCAATCTCGTATGGGAAGGGAACAACTGACTGAAGTCACTGCTGTTCCTTGTTCTTGCCAGTTCTGCCCAGTTCCAAAATGTCATCACATTGGTGCTCCTTTTCCATGTAAGGGTTTTATTCCCGGCACTCATCGCAGATTGATGCTGGTCCCTTGCCAGCTCTGTTCTCTGGTGGAATCACCAACCTCTGATTTCAGAGCAACTGCACTTCAGTGTGACAGGTTCCAGTGAGTTGAAGTCACTGTAAATTTGGGTGGCTTGATGAGTTGTGGCCACACAAGTTTGGCCACTACAGCAGGAGCACTGAATCTTAGCTGTTCCAATAGTAGCACTGGGACTGCATGTTTGACTCATTCTTTTTACTTTAGTTTCTTTCTGGATTGAGAGGATTCATCTCCCTCTGTCTGGGACTCCCAACATTGTGTTATTTCGGCATCTGAGTTGACTGTCTCAGGGAGCCTCTGTAATCTGCTCTTATCCATCCTCCATCTTTACTGGAAGCCAACTGATGCATTTTTATATGCTCAACATCACTATCATCAAGAAAATGAAAAAAACATAAGATATAATCTTACACTTCTTAGATTAGCTATTATAAAGAAGACAAAAGATGGGAAGGGGAAAGTAAAGAGGATTAAAGTGCCATATGTGTAGGTTTCAACTCCCAACCACAAATGTATTCATTATGTATTGCAAACAGGTACTGAAAGGATTTTCAAATAACTAGCTCATACTATGTTTCAGAGAGAAAAGTGAAGAAAATAAACGTGTTGGAAAAATAAAATTATTTCATTTTTGAAAAAATTGAAG